AAGATGGTCACAATCTCTGTAGAATTCACACACAATCTGTCTTTCAAGTGATTACCACCAGGACTTTCAGAGAGCCGCAAGATCAAGGCAAACCACACTCATGATACTGAACCTGGAAGGTGACTTAGAAGATGATAGACACCTGGTAGAAAAAGGAATGTGGTTTTGTGAAAAGATTCATCTCAGCCCAAATCAATTTGCGAATGTCCACAGTCTGAAACTGTATGCTGATATACCATGCTATAGACCATACCCATTGCCGACAGGTCAATTCCCACTCATAGCAACCCTCTAAGACAGAGTAGAACTGCCCCCTACGGTTTCCAAGTCTGTAATCATTATGGGGAGCCCTGGTGATGCTGTAGTTAAGCGCTTGGCTGCTAACCGAAAGGTCAGCAGTTTGAATCCACCAGCTGCTCGTTGGAAACCCTATGGGGCAGTTCTACTCTGTCCTGTAGGGTCGTTGTGAGTCAGAATCCACTCAGCAGTAACACGTTTGGTTTTCCGGTTTGGAATCTTTATGGAAGCGGACTGCGACATCTTTCTCCCATAAAGTGGCTGGTAGGTTTGAACTACTGACCTTTCAGTTAGCAGCTGAGCATTTACCACTCCGCCACCAGGGCTTCTTTGTATAATGATGTAGAATGTTATAAAAGTAGCCTCTTTACTCCTCAGTTCCACAAACCACTGAATAATAAGGCTAATTCTATAATTGAGAGTCATCGACTCTCAAAGTTGGAAGGAACACCAGAGGTCAGCCCGCTGGCCTGTGACACTCTGAAGGAAGAGAGGAGGAAGGAGGGAGAAATAACTGGGATCTGCCTTATCAGTGGGTAGCCACTTTTCTGACTACTTTCACTTGACAAGTTCAGCAGGTTGCATGCCAGAAGGGCTTCTTGGAGAAGGTCTTCCGTATCAGAGTGATAGCCTAAGTGGTGCTGAGCATCATACATTTCTTTGTGAAATCAGAGTCTACATGTGACCTATCTTCACTAAATGCCATGCACAGAACAAAGAGAGAAAAGAAAAAAGAAACTAAAAGCCTTGAGAAATCTGCTGTTTTAGGTAATGTTAGGATGGCAAATTTATTTACAGAATCATCCTTCTGGCTCCTAAACAGGAAAGGATAGTCACTTCTGCCTTAAAAGTGTTAGTTACCACCCAGGAAAATCTCTTTTTATTTCTTCCCTTCAATGGAAAAAGGTCAGGATACAAGAGTCAAGTTCCAATCTAATCACATGATGTCATAGAACAGCAATTCTGCTTAAGCAATCCTTACAAAGTAATGTGAATATATGACTGGGACATGACAAAGTGAATTTTAGATGAATGCCTTCAGTTAAGCTTGTTCTGATGCAGTTTACACTGTGTGGAAGTCCAGGAGACCTAAGCCATTGGTATGATCCTTCGTGTGCCCTCCAAAATTATTAGTGAATTATCCATCGGGCCTGGGTGTTTAGGACTCATTGGTTAATTATCCCTGGGGATTTTGTGCAGTTGGGATTGATAACAGCACCTAAAAGGAATTCTAGTGGAGGATAACAGAATTCTTAAAATAGCCAACCAGACAGCTTAAAGGAGCTTGGATAGCTGAATTTTAGAAAAAATGTAGAACTTTTGTAAGGAGATTTTTGTAGTCACCTTGATTCTGCCGCTCTCGCCACACAGCAATCATTGGCTTAGCTAAGAAGAAACATCTGAATGAATTCTGTAATAAAGCCAAATGACCAAATTTGTGATAAAAAGAACCCCAAATCTGCATCCCCAAGCTGTTTTTCCAGGCACAAGAATGGCCATTCTCTGTTGCGTGGTTGACATACTTGTGAGTTGTATCAGCTTCCCTGAGATAAGGCTAGAATGCCTGCTTTCTCAAATACCACGAACTTCTTGAGGGCAGGGATTGTATTCCACTCATTTATCCTCTGGAGGAGCCCTGGTGGCAAAGTGGTTAAGAGCTACAACTGCTAACCAAAAGGCTGGCAGTTCAAATCCACCAGCCACTTCTTGGAAACCCTATGGGGCAGTTCTACTTTGTCCTGTAGGGTCACTATGCATTGGAATCAACTCTGACAGCAACGGGTTTGGTTTCTTTGGTATTTATACCTGGAAGCTAGTGTGAAGCTTAGCACATAGTACATTCTCAATGAACTGATAAACAAAGAAGTGCATTTGTGATATGGCACCGTTACATATTTATCTGCTTTGAGTTTTATGTAGTACTACACGGAGAATTAAGCTTAAAGTTATTCATGGGAGTCTACATTTAAATTAAGGATACTCACCTTCCAAAATGTCACAATCTTCCTCAAAACTGCTGGTGCATTCTAACCCCTAAAGGAATCACATCTCTTGCCTCTTCCCACCCCACCTTCTGTCTGCCCGCACCCACCCCCGTTCCTTACTCGACTTGCTTGGGATCTCCTTTGAAAATATTGAGTTTCTCTCTCTGGCTGTTTCTCTTTGGATTCAGTGTTTTGGGAATACTGGTCAGTGGCATGAATCCTGCCAATATGAGGCCTTCAAGTGGTTGATGAGACTAGAGGGATCTGGGTATATTCCAATTAGGAGGGCATATCCTCCCCAACCCACTGCTCCCTTCCTTAGGCTTATGGGAGAAACTTCTCTAAATGCCTTCTTTGCCTGACTGTGTTTTCCTTAGGGTTGACTTTCTTCTCAAATGGTCCTAGGACAAAGACTTTTGGGCCTTGGAACTCTTGGGTTCCAAAACTTGAACCTTACCAGTTCAGCCTAGCTCACCAGAAGAATACATTGGGTTTGGGGCAAAATCCTCATAGCAATAAAAGGTTTTGCCTGAAGCATCCCTCTTCTACATAAATGCTACTCTCTGGAACTTGTGATGGTGAGGTCATGCAGCTCTTTGAGGAGTCAGGAATCTTGAGCTCCAGCCAGATGCAACTTATCACAGCTAATAATTCATCATTCACCACCACCACTAGAACAAATGTTTATTAAGCACCTACGATATGTAATGCACAGTGGCACTAGGCTGGCAAGGAAAGGCACGGCAGAGATGATGCTAAAAGACATAATAATGACAGTAAAAAGCTGCCATTTATTCAGGTTCTACTCTGCACCAGGAATGGAGCAGCACACTTTATGGTCATCATCTCATCTAATGTTCCCCAGAAATCCTATGGTATAGGTGCTATCACCATCTCCATTTTACAGATGTAGATGCTAGTCAGAAAGCCAGGAAGAAGAAGAGCCAAGACTGACACCAAGTCTCTTCAATTCCAAAACCCAGTCACTCACACATTTCTCTACATCCTCAAGAGTGGCCTATTAGATGGAGTGAAGGCATGGCTGGCAACACAGGTTGAGGAGAGCAGGATAAGGTATATGACCACTTACTAGTTGCTGTCGAATCTACTCTGACTAATGGTGACCCCAGATGTGTCAGAGTAGAACTGTGCTCCATAGGGTTTTCAAAGGTTGATTTTTTGGAAGCAGATCATCAGGCCTTTCTTCTGACGTGCCTCTGGGTAGACTTGAATGGCCAACCTTTCTGTAAACAGCTGAACATTTTTATCATTTGCACCACCCAGGGACCCCTAAGTCATAGGAAGGGAACACCTTTGTCTGTAACGGGAGAAGGAGAAAAGACTTGAGTGGAGATACAGCCACAATTGAGATGATGAGAGAAGAAGCTGAGGAATTTTATACCGCATAGCCTCAACTTCTTTTGTGAAGTAAGAGGCAAAGTCATCTGATGAGCTGAATGAGTATACACATTGGGTAGAAGTAATAATAATGATAACAGCGAACATTTATTTAGTTTACTGTGTATCTGACAGTGCATCAATATGTTTAGATTTGTGATTACTTTTAAGCCTCACAATTCCATGAGATGAGTACTATTTTGCACTGAAGGAAACCAAGGCCCAGAGAAGTCAAGTAACATGCTCATTGTGGGACACATACTAAGTAGTAGAACTGGGGCTTTCACCCAGGCAATCTGACCAGTCTGACTCCAGAGAACAAACTGCAGAGGGAAAAGCAAGAAACCAACCAGGAATGTGCAAAAAGACGACTCGATTTACTTTTCATTTCAAAGATAAAAAGTGGTGATCTGAGAAATGGTTTGTAGAGGAAATTTTTAGCTTAGCTTGCTTGAACTGAAAATGGACAGCAAGGCCAACAGGTCAAGGAGGTAGTTTGATATGCAGAACTGGAAATTTGGTGAAATTAGGCATAGACTTTTAATAGTAACAATATGTCATATGCATATGACACATTATAGAGTGGAAATTTTCTACTTGCTAGTGAGCGATACAACTCAAGACATACATAAATCCTAATATTTATGAATATGCTAAAAGATATAATTTCCCCTATAAAATATAGCAAAACATGACAAATTTTAAGCAATCGCTTTTAGAATCTCAGTCTATCCATGCAGGACTAAAGCCATTTACAGTTATTGAAGTCAACGCTACTTTGAATTTCAGCAATATTGAAAGAATATTTTAAAGTTCCATAGTAAGGTGAACTGGATCTACAGAACCAAAGGGCGGATATTATGGGTGACTGTGGGACATAAATTGACAGTACGGGGAAAAAAACAAATACAGTGAAACCTGTGAGAGCCAGGACTCAATAGGACTGCCTTGTTTTTCCAGGTTTTGAAAGTTTTCTGCTTTTAACAGGGAGCAGCCTTACAACTTTTCTATAGTTCTCTATTAGTGGAAAATATTTGAGTTTTCCTTCTCTGACAGGTTTCCGCCTTACACAGGTTCCAGCTTTTACAGGTTTTAGTGTAAATGGACTGATGAGCCAGAGGCGGTGGGACCAACTCATCACTGGCAATAGCCAGTGAGTTAAGAAAAGAAGATGAGGAGGAGGACTGTGAAAAAGGTTACCAAGGGCCAGAGGGACGAACTTTGGAGAATTAAGAGGTCTTTTTAGGAGAACATAAAGATTGGTTCCTCCTTTATTTCCTTTGCTGCTTGCTACTGTTTTTGTTTTTTGTTTTTTTTCAGTACAAAGCCAATGAGAGACGAATTTCTCCATTGAAAGAAGTTCCTCTTCCCTTGCTGAATTGCTGCTGTTGAAGATGTCAGGTGCCAATGTCATCCACTCCAGTGTTTGACTAAACTCATAAATGCCTCAAGTAGCTTGGTAAAATTCTTGAACATGATCTTCACCTTTTTTTTTTCTTTTAACCAGTTTACAATGTTTCTTGGACACTCAATCAACTCTTCCCTGTCACTTGTCAGCCAAGTTCACAACCTCTCTTGCTATGCACACACTTGGCACACTCGTTTTCATAATCCATAAAAGGAAACATCTGCAAGGACTTCATCCACAGGCTCTCAACAAACATTCAGTCTTTTAGGGTTCTCCCTATAATCGGCATTTTTAAGGTTCGTTACTCAGACAGCAAAGTGTTATTCCTACTTCAGATGTGAATTGAATCTACAGATAAATTTCTAGTCATTTTATGCCAAAGAATTTTTTTTAAAAAAAGAGAAACCTCTGGATATTTTTCTTTTCCCATTCATAGCGTGAACATATGATTTAAAATGTGTTGTCAAATGAGATATAGTCTAGCCTAGCATTTTCTACTGTTAAGCATGTGGCTCTGTGGCCAGAAAATTCTAATCGAGTAATGTTCTTAACCTCTCAAAGCCTTACTTTTATTATCTGTAAAGCAGGGATAACAATGCTTGGCATAATAAGGGTCAATACTGATAATTATTATTATGAATGTAGAGATCTATTCAGCTCCAGGATTTGAAACCATTTATTCTCCCTTCTAGATAAAATCTTGTTTTAACATTTAAGTATCTTCTATATCTTTAACCATGCTCTAATCATTTTGAAAACTACTTGGAAATTTTTTTTAAATTAATGATTAAATGAATACACTGTTAATTCTCATTGAATGAGAAAGTTTTGTTTGTTGGAATGATTGATTTGATTTATGCTGGCTAATGTAGCTATTAGAATACTGTATACAAAAGAAAGTCAAACCTTAAACTCCAACGAAGTCCCCATAAACTGTGTCCACAAAAGGAAAACAAAGTAAGGTTAATAAAAAACCTCAGTGGGCGAAACCAGGAGAAACATGTTGGATCCTCCAGTCTGTCCTCTCGTGGACATGTGGATGTGAATGAAATGACCAAAGAGCCAATAGAAGTAAAGGAAAGGAGGAAGAGAATGAGAAGCCCACAGCCGTGATAATGTGGGTTATGAGTAATTCATTTACTGTGTCCTTCCTTCCTCCCTTCCTTCCTTCCTCCCTCCCTCCCTGCCTCCCTTTCTCCTTTCCTCCCTCCCTCCTTTCCTCCCTTCCTTCCTCCTTCCCTCCCTCCCTCCTTCTCTCCCTCTCTGCCTCCCTCTCTCCCTCCCTCCTTCCCTTCCTTCCTTCTCTCTCTCCCTCCCTTCATTCCTTTCCACCTTCTTTCTTTCTTCCCTTACCTGCCTCCTTCAATATTCCCTCCACCCCTTCCTAAATATCGACTGTGGGTGTTTCAGGTTGTTAATTTATACACACACACACACTTATACATACATATATATATATATATATATATACACACACACACACACATACATGTATATATGCCTTCTATATATATTATATAATATTTGTTATGTATATGTAGGGAACGAAACCTTGACACTACTCTTTGAAGAGTTCACTTTCATGTCCATCACCTCATGAGAACTTCACAGTAATCCTATGGAATAAGCAGGGCAGACAAAATTTTTTTTTATACAAATAGGGAAATGATTCTTCCCAGTGAACGTCCATGTCAAACATCCCTTACAGTGGTCTTGAAAATCAGGACTGAGATCTAAAAGTTACACTAGGTCTAAGCTAAAGTGAACTAGGAAATAGGCAATTTTTTTTTTAATAGAGAATAGACTAGATAGCATCTGCACAATAAATTTAGTAGATTAGGTAATGATTTTCATGATTTTAGATACTTAATACAGATTCTAAAGCTCTACAGAATGCTTGCTGACAGTATTTGTTGAATCACAATCAAAAGTCCAGGCAAAACTCGACACAATGACATTCAATCTCTCTCATGTATATGACATCTGATTCTTCTCTATATGAATCTACAAATATTTAAGTTCCATTCATTCATTCCCAAATATAAGGTGATTTTCCCAATAAGAGATTTCCCATTTTCCCTATGAAAGACTAAAAAATGAGAGAGATTTGGAAGCATCTTGAATGTCTACCTACGGGGTGACTGTGCGTTGGAATCAGCTCGACAACAGTAGGTTTGGGTTTGGTTTTTCGTTTAGGGATATAGATGAAACAGTCAAATGTCTATTTATATTTTATATATATATAAAGTCATATATATTTATAATTTTAATTGCATATATATTTAAAATTATGTTATATACAATAAAATAGGAATTTAGAGTTTTTTCCAATTTCACATTTTACTTAAAAAATTGTATTCGGACCCTTCACATGAATCCTCACCATCAGTGTCTGTATCATCTCTTGGGCCTTTTTTGAGTCATTTAGCACAGCTTCTAAACTTTACCATCTTCACATCTAAGACATTTGCAACAACAGCCTTTCCCTGAAAAATTGTTCGTAAGCAAAAATATGCATTTGTGTAACATTAGCTTTTAGTTTTTTCAGTAGTCCTGAGGTGCATATTTATGACCTGCCTAATGTAGCCACTTACTTTATTGCTGTTTAAGCTGATCTTTATATGACTTTTTTTTTTTTTTTTTTTTTTGGTAACAGTCAATGGTTGTGATTGGGAAGTCATACTCCTCCAGGAGTGATTACAAAATATGGATTCGTTTCTTGGCCTCCTGTTTTGTATGATAAGTTCAATAAATATCTAACTGAGGTCTTTGGGGCTAATGTTTTCCCCAAGGAGTACTTTATTAGTCAAAAGAAAGTAATTGAGAGAATACTGATAGCATGAGATTTTGTGAGACCTTAAATATAAGTGATTCGTTTTATCTGAAAGAGAACTTTGGGGGAAATCCTTTCCTTTCATGGAGTCTATACAACGGCCCTGGTGGCATAGTGGTTAATAAACTAGACTGCTAACAAAAACGTTGGCAGTTCAAAGCCAGCAGCGGCTCCACTGGAGGAAGATGTGGCAGTCTGCTTTTGTAAAGATTTACAGCCTTGGAAACCCTATAGGGTCACTAGGAGTCGGAATTGACTCGATGGCAGTGGGTTTGGTATACAACAGCTAGTCTCTGAAGGGCACCAACCTCTGTGACTTTGGGAGAATGGAAAGGTGGTATTTCCATTTGCCTTTTTACCAGTCCATTTTAACAGTCCAATCTCTGACCTCCTCAGGGAATGGAGCTTCCCGCATGGCAACACTGGGAAGGCTGGAGAACTCCAGGTCAAGATGGAAATCAGTCAATGGGATGAGGTATCAACCTGCAAATATACTCCTGTATAATTGAGACACAGCTTTACAAGGCCAGAAATGAGGCTTTTCTTCAATATATGGCCGTGGTTCTCTTCGTGGCTGCTTTTCTGGCAGTGGTGATACAAGATTCCATGGAGTGTCTGTTTGAAATGTTACACATTCGTTCATCATCAGAATTTCAGTAGCAGTTGACATTTTGGCCTCTGAATGGGAATTATTTCAGAATAGGCCATGTATGGGGAAAAATGTAGATGATGAAAGTCATTCCAGAGAAGGCAGAAATGAGGCTCTCAGATTGGAAACTAATTTTAGTTATCCTGCACTTGCTCACCCCACCCCCCTCACCCCCAAACCCCACCCATCATGCTCCTCTGTATCTCTCCTCTCACGGAATAGTTTGCTCACGCACAGGCAGTACCTGATAGCGTTTATGGGCATCTTCATGATGCCTTCCCAGAATGCTTTGGGAGGACTTAGCATTGCCCTTTGGTATCCATGACTTATGACAACGACTTGTCTCATTCCATTGCCCAAAGAGCGTTGATAGATATCAGGATTCTGAAATAGCTGCAGAGGCAGTTGCCAGCACACATTTTGCAGGCAAAACTTATAGGGTGGTGGATTGCAGTGACAGAACTTTGGGAAAGAGTATTCATCACAAGATGGAGTCAAGTGGTTAACACATTGGCACTTTATCAGTTGTTGACTGTTGTTAGTAAACTCAGAGGTATCCTATGCAGCAGAATGTCTCTTCCCAAAGCTTGCCCAAATCATAGACACAACCAATTCTGACCAGAGTATATTAGTCAGGACAGAACCCATTCATAGTGCATATGTATCTTCTACTGATGTTTTGTATTGATATTCAATTATCATGATGTATTTCTTATCTCCTAACTAGTTTATCGTTGGATACTGGGACTCCTTGGGGTCTACTGGAAAAAGAGGAGCATAACGTGAAAATGTGATTCTTGTCCAACAGGTTGAAGATTCATGACAATTATCAGAGATGACTGATTTAAAGGGAATTGAGTAGAGATGGGGCCCAACAGGAGATGTAACAATTTGGGGGTGGGGGAGTTCTGTTTCCTCTGGAATATAAAAGAAGGGCATGGAAAGGATTGAATGCTTGAGCTTTCTCTTTAGTATTTGTCATTCTCTTTTCTTGCTTGTGGGAGCCCTGGTGGTGCAGTGGTTAAGAGTTCAGCTGCTAACCAAAAGGTCAGCTGTTCGAATCCACCAGCTGCTCCTTGGAAACCCTATGGGGCAGTTCCGTCCTGTCCTATAAGGTCCCTATAAGTTGGAATCGACTTGTGTCTCTTGCTTGTGTATCCCTCTAGTGTTTAGCTAAGTACACACTGTATGCTGGATACTTGACTAAGAACGTCCCTGTAACCTTACCTTCTCTCTAATTCCTCTAATGTTTTATTTAATACAATATTTAAGAGCAAAGTCTTTTTGTGCCCTTCGACGTGGGATCCACCACTTATTGATCATGTGACCTTGAGCTAATTACTGAAATGCTCTGAGATGTTTTCTTATTTGTAAAATGGAGATTATAATATTACCTACCTCATGGAGTTGTTGTGAGGCTAAATCAGATAATGCCTGTAAAATGTTTTAAGCCCAATGCTGGTGAATAGTAAGCATTTACTATGTTTATTTAGTGCACCTTTTGTTCTTCTTATTAGAATGAACCATTGAAATTGCTGTTTTTGTATGTCAAAATGGTAGAATATTGGTAAACTTCATATGGTTTCATATGGTTAAACTTCATGAATGCTTTGTTTTCTTTTGGCTTATAGTTGTTGCCAGCAGGGTTAAGGAGATCTATCTACTTAACTGTGTAAATAAGGAAACACCCATGATATTCAAAGAGGTCCAGGAATAAGTTTATTTAAGTCAGGACTGGTATCTTATGCTTCTTTGTATAATTAAGCACTTAACTCAAGGCTACTCATATAAAACCAAAAAACCCGTTGTCTTTGAGTCGATTCTGACTCATAGAGACCCTACAGGACAGAGCAGGAGTGGCTGGTGGATTTAAACTGCTGCACTTTTGGTTAGCAGCCATAGCTCTTAACCACTGCACCACCAGGGTTCCATATAGGAGATGATTAATAAATACTGCGGCACTGAATTCATACATGTAAATATGTCAACTTTTTTTTCTCTCTAAATCACTCCATTTTCCTTGGCTATAAAATTCTATATCTGATTCCTAAGATCAAGTTGACACAGTCATTTCAAAAGCATGAAAAGCAAATATTTATGACTTTGGTTGACCTTGTTGAGTTTGGGAACCAGATCTGTCATATATAAACCATTTCACTTGAAACCAGTGATGCTTGATGAAAGCAAGCATCTGCAAATGAAAACATGGGAATGGGTGTTAAGGGTAATGGTTTCAGTCATATCTCTGCCCCTTTTCAAAAAATGAAAAGAGATATCATGTCAGCAATAAAAGGAGCTAGAGGTTACAAGAGGCCTTTCCCAGCCAGGAATGAGAGCAACACGAGCAGCCCAAGGAAGCTTGAGGTCTCCAGCGCACACTCTGGGCAGCAGTACTGCCAGGCCTAAAAACCACGCATAGTTATAGATACCACTTCACTCTCTCTCTAATTTAGGCCCAGAGGAGACAGTTATGTGACTATTATTTTGATGCATGATTAAAAGATAGGCTTTCAGATGAGTTACACCGAAAAGCAAAATTGACAAGTGTAAATGTGAATTTAAAACATAATTTTGGAGGTTAAGTGTTTGCATTGAAAAATATTCTTCAATTTAATAAAATGATTATTTTCCTCATTTCTTTTTGAGAGCTCCTAGAGAGTTGTAATTGTTAAGGTTGTGTGTCAACTTGGTGGGGCCATGATTCTCAGTGATTTGGTGGTTATGATGTAGTTTGGCAGTCATATGATGATGTCATCTCCTCCATGATGAGATCTGATATAATGTGATCACCTCCATGATGGGATCTGCTATGAGCAGCCAATCAGTTGAAAGGGAGTGTCCTTGGGGGTGTGGCCTGAATCCAATATAAGTGGACTTTCTGGCAAGACTCTCGGATTTTGCTCACTTTGGATCCTGCAGCTGACTCTTGTTTGTTTGACCTCTGGTTCTTGGGACTTGAGCTAGTAGCTACCTGCCTTCTTGCCTGCCAATCTTTGGATTCATCAGTCTTCACAGCCTGTGAGCCAGAGCTCTGCTGTCTGATCTGCCAATCTGGGGTTTGCCAGCCCCTGTGGCTACCTGAATCAGGAGAAGGCACCAGTCTGACCCACGGACTTCAGACGTTCCAGCCTGTACAAACACGTGAGCCATTTCCTTGATGTAAATCTCTCTATATGTATATATCTTTATGGAGCCCTGGTGGCACAGTAGTTAAAAGCTATGGCTGCTAAGCAAAAGGTCAGCAGTTTGAATTTAACCCTATGGAGCATTCTACTCTGTCTTACAGGGTAGCTATGAGTTGGAATCTACTCAATGGCAACAGTTTTTTTTGTTTTGTTTTGTTTTGTTTTATATATATTTATATACTTCACTGGTTTTGCTTCTCTAGAGAACCCAGTCTAAGACAAGGGTATTCTCAAACTGTACTCCCTGGAACTCAGTGATGGCATAGAGTGCCTTAGATGCGAATAATACAAGAGATGAGTGGAATGAGAACCAGCAATAGAGAGCTGAATGGGCTCTGTGTCCCCACTCCCTGCTTTAATCAGAATAGTCCATCTTTTATGAGTTTTATATATTTGAATTTGGCCTAAGATTTCACTTCTTCAAAAATAGATTCATATTTTTAAAGATTGAAAATAATAGTCTTATGATATTCAAATTATAATTCAATTTATAAACATTACAGTTATACACAACTTTTAAGAAATGTACAAATTGGGTAAAGTGAAGTAGGCATATGGCATTATTCCCAAAAGTTTATAGCTAAAATTATAAAATTGCATTCCCTAAATTTTAATTGTAAAATTTGCTGGATACTTCTTCATGAAGAAAACACTAAATTCACTAGGAATAGAAGGAGACTTCCTTAACCTCATAAAAGGCATCTATGAAAAATCCACAGTTAACAGCATACTTAATGGTAAAAGACTAAACGTTTTCCCCCTAAAACCAGGAGCAAGACAAGGATGTCCACTCTTACCACTTCTGTTTAACATTTTACTAGATGTACATAGACCAAGAGGCAGTTGTTTGAACAAAACAAAGAGATACTGCATGGTTTAAAATCTGGAAAGGTGTGCATCAGGGTTGTATCCTTTCACTATACTTGATTCAATCTGTATGCTGAACAAATAATACGAGAAGCTGGACTATATGAAGAAGAATGGAGCATCAAGATTGGAGGAAGACTCATTAACAACCTGAAATATGCAGATGACACAATCTTGCTTGCTGAAAGTGAAGAGGACTTGAAGCACTTACTGGTGAAAATCAGAGACTATAGCCTTCTGTAGGGATTGCACCTCAACATGAAGAAAACAAAAATCCTCACAACTGGACCAATAAGCAACATCATGATAAACGGAGAAAAGAATGAAGTTGTCAAGGATTTCATTTTACTTGGATTCACAATCAACACCTATGGCAGCAGCAGTCAGGAAATCAAATGACATGTTGCATTGGGCAGATCTGCTGCAAGAGACCTCTTTAAAGTGTCAAAAAGCAAAGATATTATTTTGAGGACTAAGGTGTATCTGACCCAAGCCATGGTATTTTCAATTGCCTCATATGCATGTGAAAGCTGGACAATCAATAAGGAAGAACAAAGAAGAACTGATGTGTTGGAATTATGGTGTTGGCAAAGAATATTGAATATATCATTGACTGCCAAAAAGACGAACAAATCTATCTTGGAAGAAGTACAGCCAGAATGCTCCTTAGAAGTGAGAACAGCAAGACGTCGTGTCACATACGTTGGACATGTTATCAGGAAGGACCAGTCCCTAGAGAAGGACATCATGTTGGGTAAAGTAGAGGGTCAGTGAAAAAGAGGAAGGCCCTCGACGAGATGGATTGACATAGTAGCTGCAACAATAGGCTTAAGCATAACAACAATTGTGAGGATGGCACAGGACCAGGCGGTGTTTTGTTCTGTTGTCCATAGGGTCGCTATGAGTCAGACTGACTCAACAGCACCTAACAACAGCAGATGCTCTACCAGGTCAACCAGGCAAGAAAATTAAATAAAAAAGTAAAATCAAAGAAAAAAGTAAAGCTATATCTATTTGCAGATGGCACAATTTTGTACATAGAAAATTCTAAGGAGTCCACTAAAAAACTGTTAGAACTAAGCAATGAGTTCAACAAGGTTGCAGGACACAAGATCAATATATAAAACGCAAATATATTTCTATACAGTAGCAATGTGCAAGCCAAAAATGAAAGTAAGAAAAGAATTCCATTGAAGACAGTATTAAAAAGAATACAAATTTGGGTATAAATTTAAAAAAGTAAGTAGAATATAAAACTAACACTCTGAAAATGACAAAATGTTACTGAAAGAAATTAAAGAAGACTTAAATGGAAAGACATTCCATGTTCATGGATTAGAAAACTTAATATCATTAAGATGGCATTATTCTTCACATTGATCTATAGATTCAACACAATCCTTGTCAAAATCCCATTTGACTTCTTTGCAGACAGCAATAAGCTGATCTTAACATTTATATAGACTTGCAACGTACCCAGAATGGTCGAAAAAAGTCTCGGGGAAAAAAAAAAGTCAGAGGACTCACACTTTCCAATTTCAAAACTTACTACAAAGCTACAATAATCAAGACAATGTGGTACTTGCATAAGGGTAGACAGATAGATCAATGGAACAGAATTGAGAGTCCAGAAATAAAACCATACATCTACAGTCAAGTGATTTTTGACAAGGATGCCAAAACAATTCAATGGGGGAAAGAACAGTCTCTTCACAAACGATGCCAAAACAACTGGATTTCCACACTGAAAAGCAAAAAAAAGAAGTTAAACCCCTACCTCACATAATATACAAAATTAACTTAAAATAGATCAAAAACTTAAATGTATGAGCTAAAACTATGAAACTGTTAAAAGAAAACGTAGAAGTAAATCTTTATGATCTCAGATTTGGCAATGAATTCTTAGACACGACACCAAAAGTGAAAGCAACAAAAGAAAAAATAGATAAGTTGGATTTTATCAGAATTAAAAACTTTTATGTATTGAAGCACACTATCAAGAAAGTGAACAGATAACCCACAGGATGGGAGAAAATATTTGCAAATCAGATATCTTCTATCTAGAATATATAAAGAACTGTTGAAATACAACTCAGTAATAAAAAGACAAAGAACTCAATTTACTGATCTGACATTTCTCCAAAGATGATATACAAATGGCCAGTAAGCACGTGAAAAGAGAGTCGATATCATTAGTCATCATAGACTTGAAAACCAAAACCACAATGAGATACCACTTTACACTCATTAGAATGGCTAGACTCAAAAAGTCAGAGAATAGCAAGTGTTGGTGAGGATGTAGAGAAATCAGACTATACATTGCTGGTGGGAATATAAAATAGTGCAAGCACTTTGGAAAAGAGCCTGGAGGTTCCTCAAAAAGTTAAATGTAAGGTTATCATAGGATCCAACAGCTCCATTCCTAGATTTCAAGAGAAATGAAAACATATTTCCACATAAAAACTTACACACGTACGTTTATAGTAGCATTATTCATAATAACCCCAAAATGAAAACACCCAAATATCCATCAACTGATGAATGAATAAATAAAATACAGTGTATCTATACAAGGCAATATTATTCAGCCATGAAAAGGAATGATGTACTGGTACATGTTACAACGTGGATGAGCCTCAAAAACATTATGCAAAGTTAAAGAAGCCAGACACAAAGGACCTCATATTGTATGATTCCAATTATATGAAATGTCTAGAATATGCAGATCTAGAAAGAGATAATAGATTAGTGGTTGCCAGGGGATGGTGGGAGAGAGGACTGGAGACTGATGGCTAAGGAGTGTAAGGTCTCTTTCTGGGGTAATGAAAATGTTCTAAAATTGATTGTGGTGGTTATTGCACAACTCTTTGTATATTCAAAAGCCATTGAACTGCATGCTTTAAATGGGTGAATTATATGGTATGTTAACTATATCTCAATAAAGTTGTTTAGAAAGAGAGAGAAGAAAGAGGAGAAGGGAGGGGAAGGAAAAGGAAGGAAAAAAGGAAGGAAGGAAGGTAAGAAAAGCAGACAGGAAGGGAGGGAGGGAAAGAGGGAGGAAAAGAGGGAGGGAGGAAGGAATTTATTTTAAAGAACCTTTCATCCTACGAGCAAGATATATAGCCTCTGCAAACATTTTCATGTGTAACCTTCTGGACATTTTTCCATGCTATGCATGCTATTTAGTGATGTGCTTTTTAAACATGACAGTATAGCCTGAATATATTTTTATATCAGTGTACATTTCCATAATCTTTATTAAAAATGGCTGCATAGCACTTTATTGAACTGAATATACATAGATTTGCTTAGCCAATCTCTTATTATTGTATATCTAACTCGTTTCCCTATTAAAAATTCTTCTTTGTACCTAAAAACAAAAATTATCTGGGAGAATCCTGATAAGCAGACTGAATGAACACAAAAACTATCAGTGGAACAGGCAGATGAATTGACTTGTCCTTGCATTACACTGAGGGCTTGCATTGTTCAAACATGTCTATATAACACATACACCTACTCTGTGACAGGCACTGTGCTTTGTGCTGGAGATTCCACAAAAAAAAAACAAACCTGTGGCCGTCGAGTCAATTCCGACTCAGTGATTCTATAGGGCAGAGTCGAACTGCCCCACAGGGTTTCCAAGGAGCGCCTGGTGGATTCAAACAG